TTCTCTTACAGTAGGATTTCTTTTGTTCCTAAAGAACTTCAAAACCTTCTCCTTCTTGTCTGTAACCATGCCAGTTGTGACTCTTTCACTGATGTCTTTAGCTCTCCATATCGATTTTTACCTTTCCTAATTTATGCCATCTATCCTTTTTCCCATATATTATGTTACTTTTTATTTGTAATTGCTGCCAGTTGCGGTCAATAGATCTACCCACACGAATATAATTATGCATATGAATTTTCAGGATCTGTGCCTTAACATGTACAAAAGGAATATTTGCACTTACACTAAATCTGCAAGGGGAACTTAATTCTCTTGATTCAGGATATAAGGCAACCACTGTCTGTGTGGGATTAGGAAGCATCACCCCACTTCCACGTCTCCCCACTTCCCCTGGGCATGTTACAAAACTATCCATAATGTGGGTTGTAAGATTTCCTCTGAAGCCTTTGCTGCTGACCGCTGTCGTACAGGACAAATCTTGAACTCCCAGACCATTGGCTTTTATCTGCCATGGTATTTGCTATGTTAGAGGGTGCAAGTTAGCATATCCCCTTTTTCCCATTAAGGTAATATGAGGTAACGCTAATATTAGTCTTCTTCTCTTCTAGAAAGACCATGTAAACAACTAGAACTAGAAAATGGCAGGGTTCATTTCACGGATCTCCGGTTTGGTGCAACAGCAAACTTCTCCTGTAATGAAGGGTGAGTGGCAAGTTGCTTCTTTTGACTAATTAACAGAACCTAGACTGGTGTAAAAGTGCTGGTGAAGTCTGGCAAAATGAGACTAGAAAGACTGCTTAACTTCAAGAACATATGTGAGTGGTGTGCTATAAATCTGTAGCCATGGTCTGGGCCCTTGTTAAGAATTACACCTGCAATTTTTTCAAAGGAGTTGAAGGAAGATTGACAACTGTAGCTGGGTGGCTTTCAGTGGGAGATGAGCCCCTAAGTCGCTCAGGTGCTTTTGAAGATCCCAGCCTAGAGGCCTCAGGAGATCATCCAGTAGGGGTTGGGTCATGTGATCTGTAAATTAACTAGTTTTCTGGGTATTTGAAGAGTTCTGTAGCAGAGGTGGTAGGGCCTCCTGTCACCTACTGGAGATAGGAGTGCAAAAATCTCTAATTTAGAAGAGGTGTAACTTGTTCCCCTTTGCCGAGGATTAACAAGTATTCCCAAACATCTGATAAGCATAGAACAGAAGCAAGGACTCTCTCCTGCTAATGCTTTTGGGAGCTCTATCTTCTGGTTTGTAGCTCTTAATTGCCTTTAACTACACAGGGCTCGGTCTTCACGTACAACGGCGCAGCTGTACTGTTGTATATAAAGATGCTGCTATACTGATGGGAGAGCCTCTCCTGTCAGCATAGTTAATTCATCTCTCCAAGAGGCAGTAGCTATGTTGGCGGGAGTTCTCCTCTCGACATAGCCGTGTCTACGTGGCGGGGTTAGGCCAGTATAACTGTCACTCAGGGGTATGGATTTTTCACACCCCGAGCAACGTAGTTGTACCAATATAGCTGAGTAGTGTAGGCCTGGCCTCAGTGTTCCTTGGTCCTATGATATTAGATGTGTCCCTTTTTTCAATGGTTTGTCTCCACCTACTGGCAGAAAGAAACCACGTTCCATCTTTCTGGACGGTTAACTGGCTCTTTGCTTACGTGAGTAACAAACTTGAACCCTTTTTCTTTCTTTAGGTACAGATTAATTGGACCAATTTCTGCCCAATGTGT